TGAGTCAACTAGAATTTTTTCCATAGAATAGCAAGTGGGAGAAGGAAGAGAAACTATATAGAAAGGTTGGAAGTGGATGATAGGGGAGTGGTAGAATTTTTTAATATCCTTGACTTATTTTACCACCATGGGCATAAGAGCTTGAAGAAGTCTCAATAAACTGCTTAGGTCTTCTTGATGGTTGAATTGCATGTATAACAGACGTGAACCTCGCACCATTTGATGAGGGCATTCTAGTCTCTTATGAGTAAAAGTTCACTTGTTATCTCCAAAGTTTTCTTTATTATTTTTTGCTCCACAATCTTAAGGACATTTCATCATTGCCTTGGTGTTGTCTGGGTGACTTTAATGAGATCCTGCAAGCAATGGAACAAGAAGGTGGTGATTTGCGCAGTGAAAGGCAAATGGATGGATTCCAGAATGCTTTAGCCAAGTGTGATTTGCAAGATATGGGCTATGTTGGCAATAAATTTACATGGGCTACAACAAGAGGCGGCGGTATAAAGGTGAGGTTGGATCGAGGTTTGGCCACTTAGAGCTAGATTAAGTTATTTCCTGGGTTTCAGGTTGTTCATATGAAACCAACTTCGTTAGATCATATACCGATTTTGTTAGAATGGGAAGTCAGGAAAAGAGCAAAATTCAAGAAGAGATTTCGTTATGAAGATAGGTGGTCCGTGAGAGAAGGTTGTGAGGCTGCGGTCCAAGTGGGTTGGTCTTCTGTGTGTACTGGTTCACCGATGTATCAAGTCATGGAAAAAATTAAGGCGGCGAGAGTGCAGTTGTTGAAATGGGTAAGAAGTTCGGAGCGAACTCTACCAGGTGAAATAGTGGAAACGGAAGATAAGTTACAAGCTTTGTTTGGAAGACCTTTTACTGAAACCACTATTGCATAAAGGCATGAATTGTATACTAGATTACAATCACTACTTGCGCAGGAGGAGGCGTTCTGGCGTCAGCGGTGTAAAGAAAATTGGTTGCGTCTTGGGGATCAAAACACAAGATACTTCCATCAAAAAGCAACTTCCATCAAAAAGCAACTCGATAGCAGAGACGAAATGGGCTTCATGGTTTATTTGATGAGTCAGGACAATGGCAGGAGAGCAAAGATGGTATGAAGTTGGTTATTATCTCCTATTTTATGAAAATGTTTGACTCCATTGGGTAGTAGATGCCTCAGGGATTTTAAGTAAGATGGTACTGAAGGTCACGGATGAGATGAATCAAAGGCTTCTGTTGCCTTTTTTTTATGAAGAAATTAAGAATGCATTGTTCCAAATACACCCTACCAAGGCGCCAAGACTTGATGGAATGACACCTGGGTTTTATCAAAAGCATTGGGCAGTTGTTGGTAAAGATATCTGTGAAGGGGTTCGGCACCTTCTTGAGTTCAGGGAATTATTGCGGAAAGTTAACTACACACATGTAACTCTGATACCCAAGAAATTTGATCCTACATCTATGACTGAATTGAGGCCAATCAGTTTGTGCAATGTGATATACAAGATATGCTCAAAGGTGCTTATGAATAGATTGAAGAGTATCTCACCAGATATAATTTCCCCTTCACAAAGTGCGTTTATTTCTGGCAGATTAATTTCTGATAATTGTCTGGTGGCATCGGAAGTTGCTCATTTTATGAGGAGGAAAACTAGTGGTTGGAATGGTGTGATGACACTGAAGCTTGATATCAGTAAGGCTTATGACTATATTGAATGGTCTTTTTTAGAACAAATAATGCAAAGCTTGGGTTTTGCGGAAGAATGGATTACTTGGATTATGAGATGTGTCACTTCTGTCTCTTACTCATTCAAGCTTAATGGGGAATCGGTAGGATTAGTACAGCCTAAAAGGGGTATCAGGCAAGGTGATCCATTGTCTCCTTTCTTATTTGTGCTTTGTGCCAAAGGCTTATCGGCATTATTGGATGCATGGGAGGCCCAAGGTAGAATACAAGGGATAAAGGTTTGTAATGATGCACCTAGCATAAATCATCTACTCTTTGCAGATGATAGTTTTATCTTTGCTATGAGTACTTTACAAAAGTGTTGCGAGTTGAAGACCTTGCTGTGGACTTATGAAGAAGCATCAGGGCAATCAGTTAATCTATCGAAAAGTGGGGTGGCATTTAGTGCTAATGTAAATGAGGTGGATGCTCAGCTACTTGCGGATTGTTTGGGTATGACTCGTGTACCACGAGAGGTATCTTGGCTTGCCGGTATACATGGGTAAGTCAAAGAAACAAACAGTTGCATATATAAAAGATAGGTTATGGAAAAAAAACTCAATGGTTGGCATAGGAGTCTCCTAAGTAGTGGGGGGAAGGAAATCTTAATTAAAACCGTGGCCCAGGCTATTCCATTATATACCATGCAGACTTTTTTGCTCCCAAAAATGTTCTATAAGGAATTGAATCAGATGGTTGTTTGATTTTGGTGGGGCAGGGAAGTCGGCAAAAGAAGCATTCATTGGGTGAGTTGGAAACGTATGTGCAAGCCAAAAAGTGAGGGTGGTTTAGGCTTCAAAGATTTGTACGCTTTTAATCTTGCTTTGCTTCCTAAGCAAGGTTAGTGCATTCTAAAACAACCGTAGTCTCTGGTGGCGCAAGTTTTTAAGGCTCGATATTTCTAGCAATCGAACTTTCTAAATGCCTTAGTGAAGTCCATTTCCTCTTATTGTTGGAATAGTATTGCAGCAGCTAAGGTTTTGATTCACCAAGGTGCTAGATGGCGTGTAGGTGATGGTAGATAAAAAATAGGGGGATTCTTGGTTGCCGAGAGAGACTTATGCCAAGGTGTTGAGTCCGGTACCCCTCGGAGTTCACCCTAATCTTACTATTCGTTCTTTGATGTTGAAGGCGGATCATATGAGATGGAATATACAGGTGGTTTCTCGAATGTTTTTTTCCCGAGGAGGTCAATCTTATTCTAAGTATTCCTTTGAGTTTCTATAATCCGCCTGATGAGTTGATTTGGATCAAGGAGCCTAAAGGAGTATTCACGGCTAAGAGTGCATATTTTGTAGCTCAGTCTTGTAGTGACATATGTGGGGATGTTCCCATAGGTTCTAAGACGCCGGCAGAGATCAAATTCCTATGGAAGGCACTTTGGCGTGCTAAGGTTCCGGGGAAGGTTAAAATTTGCATCTGGCGAGGTTGTTTAAATGCTCTGCCAACTAGAGTTAATTTGAAGGTGAAGAAGGTTGTAATGGACGACTGTTGTGTTATCTGTGGGACGGTACCTAAAACGATCAAGCATATTATGTTGCCTACCCCCACCCTCGTGCAACATGGTTTTCTAGTCCGTTGGGTTTACATCCTATGCAACAAAAAGATGTGGGATTACACGATTGGGTGGCAAGAATGGCTTCGATGTTGTCCACGGAAAGCTTTGAGTTAGTCCTTATGTTGATGTGGAATATTTGGAAAGCTCGTAATGAATTACTATGGCGGGGTTCTTTTTTACCACCATAGGAACTCCAAATTCAAGCACATACTTGGTTGTTGGAGTTTAAGAAAAGGAATGTGGTATAGTCGAAATCTCATGTTGTAGAAGTTCATAAATGGAAGAAGCCAGAGGAAAGGTGGATAAAGTGCAATTTTGATGGGACATGGGATGAGCCAAACAGCAAAGGAGAAGCTGGACTGATTATCCGAGACGCGGTTGGGGAGTTTATCGCTGTTCTGGCGATGCAAATGGAGGGGATTAGTCGACTCTTATGGTGGAAGTTGCAGCAGCTCGGGAGGCTGCTCTATAAGGGTGAGAACCACAATAGATCGCGTCACTAGAAAGTAGTGATGGAGAGAGACGCCCTGTTGGTAATAGCTACCATACACAATAACATAGAGGTTAATTATGGTCCCCTTGGCCATATATTAGTTGACACACGGCAGCTACTACAACCTGTTCAACAATGGAAGGCTATTTTAGTGCGTCGTGGTGCCAATGAAATGGCACACAGATTGGCTCGCCGCGGCCTTAATCTGCCATAACCGGTTTCGTGGTTTGAAGAACCGCCCGATGTAATTTCTGATCTTATTTTGGAGGATATTTCAAATGCTTAATTTTGTTTGGTGCGAGATACTCTTTTTCCCTTCATTCGGGTTTCCCCGGGAAGATTTTTATCGAGACCCATTGTTAGCACATTTTCCATTGATTGTACGTTGTTCCCTTATGAAATGAATATCATACTTGTTTTCAAAAAATATAAATAAATCAGTTCTAATTTACAATTTTTTTAGTAATCAGTGAACAAAAAACTACACAAATAATTAAGTTGTATTGGGTCTCTGTCTTCAACCATGTAAAAAGATAAAATTATTTCCAAATAAGATGTCAAATTTTAATTCGAATGCTATGTAATCAAATTTAAAAGTAGGAGCAAGCTCCAAACAATATGTCAATCCTATGTGGATTGACATATGAGTTTTCATATCAAATTTGACATATAAGAAAAAATGATGTCATATAATTTTTGATTATTTTATTGTGTGAATCCATTAATGCATCAATTATAGACCTTGAAAATTTATTTTAATGGGTTTCTTTTTAAAAAGAGTTATACAAATGTCATTTATAACCAAAAAAATCACATTTATACAAATGTCATTTATAACAAAAACAATCACATTGATTGGCATATCAACCATCAAATTAACATTTGACATTTATCTTTTGACATTTCTATCAGAAATGCTTTAAGATGCATTTTCATTTGCTTGACTAAAACATCCCAACTAATTTTGCTTTGACTAAAACGAGTCAATTACAAAAAGATGAGACGAGTTTGCATTTGCAATTTTTCCAGGAAGTAGATAGGAATGAGCCAACTAATTAGCGCCTTAAATATTTCCCTGGCAAAGACACAGCATTTATTTTCATCTGCTTGACTGAAACGCCCCAATTAATAATAATTGCTTTGACTAAAACGACCCAACTAATTTTGCTTTGACTAAAACGAGTCAATTACAAAAAGATGAGACGAGTTTCATTTGCAATTTTTCCAGGAAGTAGATAGGAATGAGCCAACTAATTACTAAATAGAGCCTTAAATATTTCCCTGGCAAAGACACAGCATTTATTTTGTTTGTTCATCGATCGTAAACTATGGCGCTTGTGAGAGCAGCTCAAGGAACATCCTCTGATTCCAACACTCATTGGGGTTACCGTTACGATGTTTTCTTGAGTTTCAGAGGTGAAGACACTCGCAGGACTTTTACCGACCACCTCTACACAGCCTTGAACAACGCAGGATTTCTCACCTTCCGAGATGACGACGAACTTGAGAGAGGAGAAGATATCAAGCCAGGACTACAGAAAGCAATCCGGCAATCACGAACGTCTGTTGTCGTGTTTTCGAAGGATTACGCGTCATCCAGATGGTGCCTTGATGAGCTTGTCATGATCCTTGAACGCAAGAGGACTACCTCGGACCATGTAGTATTACCAGTCTTCTACGATGTCGATCCATCCCATGCGAGGAAGCAGACGGGAAGCATCGGAAAAGCATTTGCAAGACACGAGAAAACTCAGTCGCCGAATAAGGTGCGGGGATGGAGGGAGGCACTTGCAGAGCTTGCTGATCTAGCAGGGATGGTCCTATCAAATCAAGCTGATGGGTAACTTTCATTTGCCCTCTTTTATCTTTCTAGCGTCAATATTGGAAGGTTAATTTATTTTTAACCAAAAATTTGCTTTGCCTTCCTTTTTCTGAACAATTTGTTCTTATCTCTCTAAACCCATGTGTTCTACAGGTGTCGAGTTCGAATCCCCTCTTTGTTCGAATCCTCTGTGTATACAATAATTCTTTTACCAAAAGTGCATATAATAACTTTCATAATTTCTTTTTCCCTTGTTTCATGTTGTCAACAAAGTTTCATTTTTATTTTTAGCTAATTAAGTTGTGCTGTCAAAATAATGTGTAAGTTTAGCATCCTTCCTGTTGTTACCTTTGTAACTTTCTTAGGTAGACAACATGTTTGATTTATATTTCATTTTTTTGCAAATTCGTAGGTACGAGTCAAAGTTTATCACAAAAATTGTCAAGGTGATTGGTGACAACCTAATTCGCACACCCTTGGCTGTTGAATCCAACTTGATTGGAATCCAATCTCGAGTCAAACACATCAATTTATGGTTACAAGATGGATCAACTGATGTCGGTATAGTTGTTGTGCATGGGATGTCTGGAATAGGGAAGACAACAATTGCTAAATATGTTTACAATTCAAATTTTACAAGTTTTGAAGGGAGCAGCTTTGTTGAAAATATCAGAGAAACAGCAAGTCAACCGAACGGGTTAGTTCAAATTCAAATGCAACTTCTTTACGATATTTTGAAGGGGAAGGAGGAGAAAGTGCACAACGTCAGTGAAGGAATAATTAAGATTGTAAGAGCCATAAGCTCTAGAAGAGTTCTTCTTGTTCTTGATGATGTAGACCATAAGGAGCAATTAGATGCAGTACTACTGATGAAAGATCGGTTTTATCCCGGAAGTAAAATAATCATAACAACAAGGCGTGAAAGGTTGCTAAAGGCACATCAAGTTACTAAGGTCCACGGAGTTGAAACTTTGGATTACGATGAATCGTTGGAGCTCTTAAGCTGGCATGCGTTTGGCCAGGACCATCCCCCTAAAGGTTACATGGAATATTCAAAAAAGCTAGTGCGGCATACTGGAGGACTTCCATTAGCTCTTCAAGTTTTGGGTTCTTCTCTGTTAGGTGAAAGTATGGGTGTGTGGGAAAGTACATTGGAGAAGCTACAAGTTATTCCTAATGGCGAAATCATGAACAAACTAAGAATAAGCTATGACAGTTTACAAGATGACCAGGACCAGAAATTATTCCTCCACATTGCTTGTTTCCTAATAGGAAGGCACAAAAAATACATTGTTAGAATACTAGATGGATGTGATTTCTATACAACTGTTGGCATTCAAAATCTCATTGATAGATGCTTGGTGAAAGTTGATAAAGACAACAAGGTGAACATGCACGATCTGATTCGTGATATGGGAAGAGAAATAGTTCGCCTAGAATCAGAAGAGCCTGAGAAACGTAGTAGACTTTGGCGTCGTAAGGATTCCTTCCAAGTACTGAGGGAAAAGACTGTACGTAGAAACATGCCTTTTAGATATAGATATATATATATATATATATATGTTTTTCTCTTCTTGTGAAAATTATCCATATTAATGTTGTTCCCTTTTTTTCTTAGGGTACACAAACAATCCAAGGTCTTGTCCTGGACATGCATTGGCATCCTGCAAACAGTCCAATAAGCACAAATGAGACAGTCTTTGAAACCAATGCGTTTGAAAGGATGCACAAATTACAACTACTCCATCTTAGACGTGTACGGCTAGAGGGATGTTACGCAAATTTCCCTACAGGATTAAGATGGTTGTGTTGGCCTGAATTTCCTTTGGATTCTATACCCATTGATTTTCCGTTGGAGTGCCTAATTGTTCTTGAAATGCAATATAGTAGCTTGACACAAGTCTACAAAGGAACAAAAGTATGTTACTCTACGCATCTCAATTCATTTTCAGTCTTTTGCTAAGTTTTGATTCGTTGACTAATTGCATATGTTAGAATTAACTCCCACAAATATTATTTCTCTTTTTTTTTCTTTATTTTAATTTTTTTTCCTGCAGTTTCTTCCTTCATTGAAGATCCTTGATGTGAGCCATTCTCATGGCCTTAGTCAAACCATGGACTTCTCATACTGCCCCAATCTAGAGGAATTGATTCTTGTAGATTGCAAAAGCCTGCTTGATGTTCATGAATCCATTGGAAACCTAGAGAGACTTGTGTACTTGAATATGGCGGATTGCAAGAATCTTAGGATGCTTCCTAACATGTGCATGCTAAAATCACTTGAAACACTCAATTTATCTGGTTGTTCAAATCTTAATGAGATGATGAAGAAGATGGAATCAGTGAAAGTTCTCGAAACAGATGGTATTCTAGGTGAATTACGGCCTGGTACAAGTTCGAGTATCTTGACTTATTTGCCATGTTCTTTAGTAAGGTTAAACCTTAGTAGGTGCAATCTTTCTGATGATGCCTTTGCTACGGATTTAAGTAATCTATCCTCGTTGCGAGATCTAGATTTAGATGATAATCCAATTTCTAGCCTACCTGTTTTCATCAAAGGTTTGAGGAGGCTCAATGGTCTCTCTTTATCAAGATGTAAGAGGCTCGAATCACTTGTGGGGTTGCCGAAAATTGGATGGCTTAGTGTACGTGGTTGCATATCATTAAAAACTATAACATATCAAGCCAATGAGTTGAGAGCATTGACCTATAAGGGTGAGAACCACAATGTACTTGAGTGGGAGTACTATCACAAGTTAGAACCTATTGGCAGAGTTGATGTGGAAATGATGAAACTTTTCAGCTTGCACAACTTGGAAATGAGGAAACGTTTCGGCTTGCAAAATTTTAAACATGTTGATTGGATTTGGAGTCCCGTTCAGGTGCCTCTCTCTCTCTCTCTCTCTCTCACACACACATCGGAAAGAGTTGCCTAATATAGTCGTTTCCATGCCATGTACACAGGGACTGCATCAACATGGTATATACAGTACATTTTTTGCTGGGAATGAGGTTCCTGGTCGGTTCAGCCATAAAAGTACCAAGTCCTCAATTTCTTTTATTGTGCCTTTTCTTGCAAGTCACAAAATTCGAGGCTTGAACATCTTTGCTACCTATGCAATCAAGGGGGTTTGGAGTTCGGCTTATTGTCCTTCTCCACTAATGAGTATTGAAGTGAGCAACAAGAGCAAGGGTCTGAAGTGGGTCTATGGCCCAAGATTCTGCCGTGGTCCAGGAGGGAGAGGAGGAGATGTGACATGGTTGAGCCATTGGAAAATGGACAATCAAACAATAATATTAGAATGTGGAGATGAAGTGGTTGTTTCCGTAATGACGATGGAACATGTTGAGTTTATTCGGGTAAAGGAATTTGGTGTGGAGCTTGTGCAAGAGCACCAAGACAAGATGAGTACCCAACACAACACCACTCCAGATCCTAATGATCCATTTGTCATCGGTGGGGATTTGTCACCGCTGGAGAATGTATCAGGAGAATATTCCTTTTGCTGGTTCAGTGAAGCAGAAATGAAAAATACTGAATTTTGTAGGCCGAAATGGTTGAATACACTCATCATGGACTCAGGTAAATTATGCTCCATTAAAGCACTTAGGGGTCTGCCCGTATTCATTTCATTCAAGTTTTCTCAAAATTTTCTGTTATTTGTATGTTTTTCAGACAAAGAAGAAGAGCAACTGAACGATCTTGATCACAAAATTGCAGCAGCGAGTGCCATAGGCAATAACTGCCATCTGGGAGGATGGAGGGGGCTAGTCACTGCTGCCGTCTTCTTTCTCACGCTAACTCAAATCGTTCGGCCCTCCATCTCTCAGAAAAAGAAGCGACGGTAGTCAAAAAGCCCTCCATGAGTTTTTAATTTTACTAGATGTCTTCAAGATGTTCTCTGCCTTCAAACACAAGACTTGGAGTTCATAACTAAGCCATGTTAACCGCTTGGGATATGAAAGACCCTTGCTATCCTATTAGATATCAAGTTCAAATATCTTCAGCATCATCAAATATTGTGTACATTATGGCATTAGCGTTACCAAATTTTTCTTCCCTGCCACTGATTGCTTACGACCTCATGCAACAGAAGATTAACAAGGATATCCGGCATCACTTGGGCGAATACAATCATAAACAATTTCAAAAGCCACAATTTTTAAATGCAATCTGACTCTGTTTTGATTTACCGAAACGCTTATAGATTTGGATAAACAGTATATCACATTCAAATGCAATCATGTATTACGTATGGGATGCCCTAATGACTTTACCAGAAGATGCTGGGTCAATTGTCTCAAAAAATTCTTTCAGTAACTGCTGGTAAAACTCATAGTCATCCAAAAGTTCAGGGTCACCGTCAACTTGTGCACCAGCTTCGGATTGTGTCTCCTATTAGAGTGAAGGAATAATAAAGAATTTTTTTAATTAAAAGATACAATCAAAGTTACAGCTGATGAGTGTTAAAATAATCACAGGTGGCATTATTCATTCTTATAGCAAAGGAACAAATTCATCAAATAAAATTGGGGCCATCCAAAATGAAAATTGAAGTAAACACCACAAACGATGCAAAATATTGTTCAAATATGGTATCAAATTAACAGAATGCATCCTTCCTCAAACAATGAATTTGTACCTCGTTTGAGAATTAAAATCCATGGGACATTTAACCGCAACGAATTTATAGATGAGCCTCAGATTTGAATAGAATTATAGTTAACCAATTCTATGCAGAACAGTAGGATTACCTCCCCCTTTGCAGTATTTTTCTCCTCAGGAACCTGCACATCCATTTAAAAATTTAAGAAGAAATATCTTTGAGCATGCTCAAGAAGCTTGGGAAGTGTGAAATTTTCAATTTTTTCAATTTAGATGTAAGAGTTAATATCTTACAGCGCCAAATACAGAAACTGCTGATTTCCTCATCTGCATCTGCCTAACCACTCTGCTTGGATCTCTCATATAAGAAGCAACTTGTTCGCTAATATTCTGCAATTGGAAAGGATGGCACAAGTCTGCTCATAGGGGAACGCATGGTTACAATTTTAATTGTAGGGCCAGACCTGATTAAAAGCATGCAGTTTGCTTTTAATAGCAGCAGCACCTGTGGTCACCTCTGTCTTCCTCTGCCATTTGTTGATGGATTTGTCCCTGAAAGTAGCTATTCTACAAGATAAAACATGACAGGATTAGTTAGACCAAGTAACCCAAATGGAAATGCATACAATAATGAAAAGTTGAACAAAAGTTAGATACTGTGGTATTGAAATACAGCAATAATAGTAAGGTACTTGAATCTACCATTACGAGAATTTTAAACAATAAAACAGAAAAATTCCACATTTCCTTTTGCTGCTCCATATATGGAGCAGTGAAATATGGCATGAAGAAGAAAAAAAATATTTCAGTTTTATACAAGTATTGATAGACTTCAACACAAGAGCATATGTAGTTAGTAGAATATAATTCTTCTCAGAATATCTAAAGTACGATCTGAGTACCTCGACAGCAACTGAGAAATCTGTGACCAATCCTCATCACCATCACCGTCAATGTTCTTAGATGACTTTGACTTCTTAGATTGTCCAGATTTACCTTCAGGACAGGATATTTACTAGGAGAAGCACTACATGAACAAATGCAGTATGAAACTAATGAAAATGAAAACACTATAAACTAGGAAAGTCGATTAGACCAAAGTAGCATAAAAGTCTTTTCTTTTTTTTTTTTTTTTTTTTTTATTTTTTTTTTTTTTTTTTGCTTAATCAGGCTAAGGTTTATACGAGATCAAGCAGGAAAGATTTGTCCTGGGGCAGATTACGGACTAGTTTGGTATTGCTGTGCTTTGAAAAAAAGCTGCTGTGAGAATAAGCGGCTGTGCTGTGAGAATAAGCGGCTGTGAAATAAAGCAGCAAAGTGTTTGGTAAACTTTTTTGTAAAAGTGCTTTTGGAAAGAAAAAAAGCAGTATGATAGTGTTTGGTAAACTTTTTTATAAAACAGCTGTGACTATGTGAAATGATCAAAAAGGGTATAATACTAAACGTGCTATTAATTTAATTTTCTTAACAAATAAAAGTGAATTACTAAATATATTTTATTTTTAGAAGAAAAATATTTATAAACTTTATCTTAAATATTAATTAGTATGACAAACTACTTTAATAGAAATATTTTAGAGTGAATAGCTAGGATTCATTAGTACAATATTGTTAATGTACTTGAAAGTAGTCTAATTAGATGCATTCATCAAACTTGAAAGTAGTACAATATTGTTAATATTGTTAATGTACGGTAGGAGAGTCGCTCTAATCAAGATATTATCGAAACTGGTGCTTAAGCAAGAATTACATTTGGGGAGAACAGTCGGTGCACATAAGTTATCAGCAACACCGGGTCTTGGTTTTTCGAAATCTCCCTAACAGACTATTATTACAGTTTCAATAAAATGAGATGCTATACATTAACTTCCGTCGCTGCTGTTTCTAAAAACCAGATACAATATCATCAATTGATTCCTCCCACGAATCGGCTGCTTCAATCTGGAAAACAATTAACGATAATGTACCCGTCAGCATTACTGTTTTGCATTACAGATTATGGGGTGTCGACGCAACCATAAATACAGACCTCTTGGCAAAGATCTAAAGCAAGACGAGCTCCTACAGCCGCCTCCTCGTGGTTATCTTTCACCTCCAAGTTGATTATCAGCACACATTTCCTAAGAGCATGGTCCCGGTTGTTGAGATCTATACATTGTTGCACACGGGTCAGACAAGCAAACAAGGATGGTATCTTCAAGTTACAGATTAACTGCACAAATCTTCTTTTAGTTTTCATAAAACTAAAAGATGAACAAAAGTAGATGGTGCCAATACTTTTGAAGCTTCTGTTAGAGTTTGGACTATAAGTTCAAAGTTCAAATATAAGTCCGTATGATCCATTTGGTTTTGCGAGTTATATCAAGCGAACGATTATGAAATCAAATCCATAGAGAAATCTGATCAAAACCCAGTTAAGTTATTCAATTTCTGTTTTTTAGGCATTAGAAGAGTCTCTCCCACCTACAGTCTTCTCTGTGAAAAATATCACCACGTATAAAGCAGGCAGACTCAAGCCAACAAATTTTGGCATTCTCTCCTACCGTCCAACTCAGGTTTTAATAGTGTCCTAAAAGTTCAAAATTTTCCTGTTCAACATAAATTCTTCCACATGCTCAACTAAACAGAAACTTTCAACCATCCAGTATGTTTTTTGATTTTTTTTTTAAAAAAATCAAAAACTCTCTTGAGGTTTAAACTTTATCTTTTCCTTGAGATTCATTAACCACAAGTTCCTAGAACTAGCATCTCTGTTGTATGTATAAGTTCTAATAATCCTAGGAACCTATAAACTCAAGGTTTCTTACTTTCTTACATTTCCCAAATGGAAAAAGAATCCATTTCAAATATCAATCGTTGTTTGTTACCATCTCCAATGATTACGTTAAGCTGAAAGAAATTGCATACCTATAACTTAAGAGCTCAAACTCTACCAGCAAGTCATATTCCAACAGCTCAACAGAAAGAGTTTGCCAAGAAACAACACTACCAACACAAAGAAGAGCATTTGATTAATTGATTATCGAATGACTATGGACTATTGAAATCTAGAAGATACAAGCCAAAACTAGGAGAAGGGAGTTAAAACCAACCTTCAATAACCATGTCAAAAACCTTTTCTTCGAATGTTAACACCACATCAAAGGAACCGTCGGCAGCATTGTCCTGCCATCGCTGAGGTGCCAATTTGACTCCCAAGTTTCTTTTAAGCATAGGCAAGATGCCATTACGCTTGTACCTGTACTTATCGTCAAGGTTACACTTTGCATAAAAAACAACACAATTCATAACGTAAAGTACGCACATAAATTCCAGTTCATACATCCCACAATACTCGAGCATTGCTACACAGAGCTACCAATCAATAGTCGTCGTCATCAACTATTCTATACTCTTCGCTAAACACCTCGAACCACAAATATCGAATTTACTCTTAAAAGCCTCAAGGGTAAGTTCATACACAAAATCTATCAGACTGCCCACTTAATTTCCAAATATTGAAGCTTTGAACCTACAATCTCAGTTGCATATATCAACAGTCTTAAAGTCCTTTTTCTTTCCTGTTAACCAATTTGCTCCTACCAAAACTTTTTGTTCGTACTATTTTCTGGATATTTATACGAATCTATTTCATCACCAAAATATCATATTCCCCAAAACCCAGAATTCGAAAAACCCAATTGAAACAAGAAAGATACATAATTTGAAAACCCCAATTGAACAAAATCGAGAGAAGAACAAGTTTAGAGGAGGAGGATACAGTTCGGGGTCTTTTCGCCGGAGATCGTCGAACATCTGCTTGTAAGGTGTGCCAAAGTCGTAAACATTGGGTTCTCTGAGGGAGGGACCAGGGAACTTGACGTGGGCTCCGGTGCCGTACGACGCGACGTCGAAGCCCTGCCGCTTGAGGAGCGAGTGAGCCTCCATGCTCCGATTCTGGTTCGACGAACACACCATGCTCCATACCCTCATCCCTTTGCTCTTCCCACCCCTCTTTCCCTAACGACAGAACGAGAGAACGAGAGAGAGCCTGAGGTTCGGGTTATGCGAGAGAGCTCTGAAGTGAAGAGCATGCGAGAGAGTTCTGGAAAGGTGAGAGCGTAGGTGAAGGGAAAGGGAGGGCAGTTTTGGGTTATTCATATTTCATTAATGTGTACACTGTTCACCCGTGTGTGGGTGAAAATAAGCTGCTTTTGGAAGCTGCAAATTGCAGCTTCTTGTCATCTCCTGGTTTTGGGCTTTTTTTCACCCTCAACTTTGAAACAAAGCTGTTTTTCAAAGTTTACCAAACACCAAAAATTTTCATAGCTTTTTTTCATAGTAGCTTTTTTTTTAAGCACCTCAATCCCAAACAGGCCCTACAAATCTGGCTTCGTCTTGGCTGGCTATCCTCAGATCAACAAAGCAAGACCCAACTGATTTAGCTTCTATGCCGACATTATGCTTTTGACCACTGGAACATATACCTAAACCCTATTGATGTTTCCTTGAATGCTGTATACAAAATCAGTGTCTAATTTTTGTTGAATACAACAATATTTCTGACCGATCAAACTATTCTGAACTTCCAACCTATTGTGTGTAAACCATCACCTGTTGGGACTGCCTTGATCTCAATTAGAACTAAGCACAAACTTTATTACAATTCAACTGACCCAAAGCTGATGTGCGAAGATTTAGGTTAACAATTGAGCCGGTCCAAGCTCAAGCTCGATGCTTTGTAATTTGGGATGAGCTTGGGCAAGGCTCAGCTTAATCCATTCCTCTTGATTGACACTCTTACTCTCTTAATAATAACTCAGTACCATCATAGCAAACCTTACACATACTGGCAATTCTTATCACGCCAATAGCAAATGCACAACAATAATAGAGAGCCAATTGTATTACAAAATAAATATAATAGTACGATAAATGTACTTTGCACATACTATCTGTTGCTTGAACGATGGACGGATTCTTCTCAAGTAAAGCCTGTAACAAGAAAAAATGGCATGATGTGATAAATTTTAGCATATACAAATGTCAATATTAACAAATCGTAATAATTTATATTATATTACCACAAGGTATGAAGCTAAACCACAGACCAAGTAGTACTAGGTAGACAACAAGTTTTTATGACAGCCATACCTCTTGTAGTTCCGCTAGAGAATCTAAAGTTCGCTTTGATGAGTCAACTAGATCAGAATATGCTGTACTGACAACCTGATGTGAATCACAAAATAAAGACCTAACTGGCTCCCGCAGACAACCTCTCGGGTAAGAACATGATATCTTAACATGTCAAAAAGCTACAAAAAGAAGGGGGGAAAAGCAAAAGCGACCTGTGGTAATCTATTTGAATTTGAGAATGCTTTCTGAAGCAAGAATCTGAACTCAAGAGCTTTGTCCCAGAGAGCCTTCGGGAAAATGATAAAAAAAAAGAAAAAAAAAACATAAAAAATGGGTAAAATAAACATCGATCAGACAATAATCCACTACATAAATATTTTTTGTCAACTTTAAGGCGAGGCATAAAAAAAAAGCTCTAATCAAGGAGCAATAATTTCATGATGAAAATAAAACCTATTTCATGGATATTACAAGAGCTATTATCTTGAACAATGCACCTTTTGGTTCTTCACTGCTTGACCTTTAAGAAGTTCTTCGTCCTTATGGCGCTTTAGATTCTTTAAAATATCTCTGCATGGAAAGAGGGAATAAACGAGGAACAAAATTAACTTCATACATCCGCCTGTACCTATGTATAGATGTGTGTTCCTTCTTTTTATCTCGAACTCAATAATTGCAGACGCATGTATCACTTCTGTAACCTAATATCAAATTTCGTCACCAACCTCCAACTGCTATGCATATTATCTCCTACACTCACATTATTTAGTTCTACGTCGTCAGTCTAATTAAGCATCACAAGTTTATAATAAAAAATAAAAGGATTGTGAACAGAAGTCTCTTACTGCTCCTGATGACGAAGATTAATGTATTCTTTCTCGAGTTCTTCCATCTCGGCATCTTTATTATCGTTTTTCTCATAATCATTTTCCTCTTCCCCTTCTTCTCGTCCATCTTCTTCCTCCTCCTACCGTCGTGCTCATCATCAAAGTCATCCTCTTCCTGCTCCATCTACTTCACAGATCATCAATTAACAACACAATCACCAAAACAAAACCAGATAACTACCGAAACCGAACAACAGACTTACAAATTAAACTAACATTCAGCTCATCGCTGTCGAAGTCACCATCGGTCCTCAAACACACTGTCACTGTGACGAGCCTTCCTCCCCATTGTGACGCCTGACCCCTAGAAATTCAAACACCCAAATATTTATACAATTTACTTCCACAAAGATTTTAGCTGGTGTGACATACAACTTCATTTCATATATTCAAACTTCATCAATCCCGAATTCTAGAATTGATGAAATTTCCTTTATTTTATTTGAAGCGAAACAATGATATGTATACAGAAACATATATATATATATATATAGAGAGAGAGAGAGAGAGAGAGAGAGAGAGAGAGAGAAAGAGAGAGAGACCCTAACCTTTTGAAGCTGAAAGAAGAAGGAGGACGGCGAGGGTTAGAGAGGCAGAGACAAGTCTGAGAGAGAGAGAGAGAAAGAGAAACCCTAACCTTCTGAAGCTGAAAGAAGAAAGAAGAAAGAAGACAGCGAGGGTTGGAGAGTGGCGGAGACAAATCTGAGAAGCAGCTGCAGGGTTTGGGTTTGGGGGTTTAAGCACTGATATGGAATTGACCGGGTTGGAATTACCCGACTCTAAAACCCAAACCCGGCTGCTAAACGTAGTTCTCAAATCTGGAATCCTTGCCGGATCCTTTTTTTTTTCCTTCATTTTACCATCAATCATTATTTCAAAATTATCAAAAAAAAATAATTATAATATAAAGTTATGTTAATCCAGCACATAATAAAAAATAGTTGAAATTAGGTTTTGCTCTAATATTGGGGAATTTTTATTTGCTTCTTGCTTTGAGTATAGGATTTGCAAGTCTTTGGGTTTCTAGATAATAACAGACCCAGTATAAATAATACAACTATTAATCCAATGTTGCACCAAACGCCTAATTAATTTAGTCAGTACTATCCGACGACTATTTATCATATCCGACTGAAATAGTCAGTACAATTCGACTTGCCAAACAAGACCTTAGTGTCTTAGCTCCAACATGAAAAATTTTGAAATCCAACACTACCCCACGTGCATACCACCCAACCTATCATTGACGTATTTTATATACAAGAGAAATAGAGTTGAAAATTTAAACAGCAATTTGATTTTGATTTGAGCATATGCAACCGCATCTGCACATGTCACATCCCGACCCAGGACGGATCACTTCCCAGGCTCGCTCCACCACCGTAGCACGATATTGTCCGCTTTGGGACCCGACCATGCCCTCACGGTTTTGTTTCTGGAAACTCACACAAGAACTTTCCGATGGGTCACCTATCTTGAGAATGCTCTCGCGCGCTACTCGCTTAACTTCGAAGTTCCCATGAAACCCGAAGCCAGTGAGCCCCCAAAAGGCCTCGTGCTAGGTAGGGATGGGAATATACATATAAGGATCACTCCCCTGGGCGATGTGGGATGTCAAAGCACACGTGGGTCTTGCTGAAGCTTGTTCCTTGCATTCTCATGGTTCCAATCAATATTTCTTAGATCAAATAACTAGTTTTTGTCTTAATCATTTTATATAAGGGAGCTTTAATGGCAAAAGTTTCAGGCAACAAATTTGCATTGAAAAACACATTAATGAATGATTTTTAATGAAAATTTTGAAGAAACATTTGTCGTTTTTATGAAGAAAAAATTGTTGATGTGAACTTTAACTTAATTGTGATACTAATACTGCGTCTAATCTTTAACTTATTAAAATACTGCTACTGTCTTTTACTCTTGTAACTAAAAAAGTTCATTTAAGTGTGTTTGGATAAATAACAAATTTGAGGTCATTTTCATTAGTTGTTCTTTATGTAAATGATGTTAAATGAAAAGAGAACATGGAAAAGAAAAAGGTTTGTTTTTTTTTTGTTAGACACAAACTTCATTTATAAAAGAAAATGTTAAAAAGGATAAAACATTAAAACAAGTTACAACTAGGTCAATTGCACATAGAAATCCAAGCAAAACATATGATGACCCAATTAAAATCAGTCTATTGCCACAAGTCATTACTGCCACATCCACCATGGACCTCGCCATTCTATTGCTCGGGTCATCTAATTTTCTATCAACACCAACAAAACACAATCACCCTAAAACAAAAACACATATATAAAGCAGCCCCATTTGAAGAAAAAAAACTACTCCCTAATTTCATAACATTAAAGATCGCAACCAGTACATAAAATTGTATTGAAAAAATTCAGTCCCAAAAAAGTAAATCAACACCAGCAACCATATCCACCCGAAGACCCGTAAAGGAAAATTTTTGATGCCAACAAAGCAAATAGACAAAACACCATCAATACTATAGAAGGAGACGGCACAGAAACCTAAACCACCAAAGTGGTTTTGCACACCTTCATCTAAGTGAAATTAGAAAACTTTTCAACCCAATTTACTGATCATCTCCACATAAATACGAATTTTGTAACAGTTTCCCTCCAATCTCTCCCATCTCGAATCCCTCAATTATACCCATATGTCTTTTGTTTGTGGATTTGTAATGAAATTGACCTAGCACCCTTGTTTCGTGTTAGTCGTTCTCATATTCAAAACAAAACACCACAATTTTCATGAAGTGAGCACCACATGTGGAGCTTTAAATATGCCCGAAATTTCTAATTCGGTTTATTTAATTTTTTGCTCATTTGAGCTCGATTTTTAAGTGAAATGAGTTGAGGTCAAACAAAATAATAGACTCGTTAATAAAATAAGATGTACCTTATCTCTATTACAAATCCAACAATGCTCCTATACTCCTCTTTGAAAAATATTCAAATAATTATTTATACCTTTACCCCCATGATTGATATTATTTGTGTACGTACCTTGAATGGTTGAAACTTTTTACTTTGGGCACATAATTGAGTGGTTGAAGCTTTGTAGGTGAAGCCTTTTCCTTTGGGCGTATAGCTTGAGTGGTTGAAGTTTTGTAGGTGAAGCTTTTTGGTTGAAACTTTGTAGGTGAAACTTTTTTGTTGAAGTTTTGTAGGTGAAGCTTTTTGGTTGAGGCTTTGTAGGTGAAATTTTTTGGTTGAAGCCTTTTTGAACCACATAAATAGATTTTGCTTCCACACTCTTGAGTAAGAGTGTGGAAGGCTTTTTGAATTTCTTG